AAAGAGCCTGCCTGTCTTCGCAGCCTGGCTGGCTTGGGCCTGGGCCCAGAAGCTTCTGGTAGGCCCCAGGATGCTGCCCCTCTCTTGCAGCTACTGGGCCTCATTCGGTTGGGCCTCCCAACCTATGTAGGAGGCTGCGATTCTCGTCCAGGGCCTGCATCATTCTGGAAAGGCCTGGAAGGTCATGGACTGTCTCGCTGCTCGGCCTGTGTTTTCCTCAACCGACTGGCGCGACAAAACTGCCTGGACCCCAAATACGATATTGACAGCGTAGGGCCTCTAGTGATTTGTCAGGCCCGCCTTCACTCAGGGCGGGCACATCTGCAGCAAGAGGCCCATTAGGCTTGCCGAGGACCCAGATCCTCGCATTCCCTCTTCTTTTTCTTCGATAGTCCTCTGAGAAAGTCTTCTAATTTGCAGGCGTTTTTCCTTTGAGTTCTCTTTCATAGCCTGCAATAACTTGGGGTGCTGTTCGCATGAGCTCTTCTCTGGGGAACCACCGATCTTCCTTAGGATCCAGATGATGTCCGAATCTCACACGGTACTGCATTCTTGGCTTAGGAGGGCGGCCTCTACCCGGCGGTTTAGGCATTGGCATCACTCGATGCTCTACGATTCCGTCGATGTCGACTTCGCCATCCATGGTTGGGGGCAGCATTGACCGTCTGGAAGGAAACTGCGCAGTCTCTGCGAAATGTGCCAGCTTGGATGCATCAAAAACTGGGTGCGTACGTAGATGAGGTGGGGGACGTTAATCATATAAGAAGGTCCGTCCACCTGTTCCCCCACTATGTTTAGGACCTCCCAGGGACCGAAATATTGTGGCATTAGTTTTCTAGATATTTCTAGTTCCTGTCCTAGTTCAGATGACTTTACCCAGACCCTTTCCCGTACTTGAAAGTTAGAAGGCCGTCTGTGTTTGTTCTCAGATGCAATCATAGCATCTTGAGATTTCCTCATGGCTCAGCGGCCTGCTGCAGCATCTGTTCGTATGTGACAACAAATTCTATGCTACCGGGTGCTGCAGTGGTCTGTTTCTTAGGTAGTAGGAAATCAAGGGCGGAACAGGGCTTCCAACCAAGATGCAATTGGTTGGGAGTCATGCCAGTCGCGCGTTGTTGTACAGGCTGGTGACGAGACTGGCGACGAGAGGCAGTTTCTCGTCCCAATCATCCTGGCTTGGCTTGATGTAGTGCCTTGATAAGTGTTGCACTACTCTGTTCATTTATTCTGCCTGTCCATTTGACTCAGGGTGATTCCCTGATGTCATTTGCAGTCTGGTTCCCATCTGTTGGGCAGTGTTCTGCCACAGTTCGCTAGTAAAGCGAACATCCCTATCACTGATTATGGACTTAGGTAAACCAAAATCCCTTACCCAGTTAGCCATAAACAGTCTGATGACGTAATCAGTCTTGGCAGTTTCAGGCATAGCGAGTAGTCTTGCATACTTAGAAAAGCGGTCTACTATAACAAAGATGTGCCTTTTTTCGGACCTGCTGGTCACAAGAGTATCCATGAAGTCCATGGACACACTTTGACCAGGACCTTAAGGAATCGGCAAGGGCTTGATAAGCCCAAGCGGAGCCTGAGTCCTGGGTTTGTCCCGTTGGCAAACCTGGCAGGTTTCGACATACTTCTTGGCATTTTCCATCATAGAAGGCCACCAGAATTTCCGTACTAGGTTCGCTGAAGTTTTCCTATACCCGAAATGTCCAGTTGCATCGTGACATTCCCCTAAAAATAAACTACGCAAAGACTCGCTATTAGGAACACACAGTCTTTTATTCCCAGGCTTTTCAAGAAACAGCAAGCCATCTCCCATCGTAAATTCGTCAGAAATTACCTAATCCTTCTCTTTGAACTTACGGATGATCTCAGACATAACTGAGTCTTGCCGATAGGCTTCCACCAAAGATCGAGTTAGATCGTTAGATATATCGAATTCGGTCACTAGCGCGCCTAGGTAATCTGCCTGACGTGATAGTGCATCAGCTACTTTGTTGTACTCTCCCTTGATTGGATCAAGTTGATAGTCATACATGTCTATCACTTGAATCCATCGCTTGAGTGCGTCAGAGAGTACAGGTTGTGTCTTGATCCAGTGCAAGGTCTCATGGTCAGATCTCAAGTAGAAGAATCTGCCTAGGAGATAGTGTCTCCAGTGGACCAGGGCTCTATAGAGCGCATAGAGCTCACGCTCATACGTGGACTTGGCTAGCTTTTGAGACGGCATCTTCTTACTCATGTACTCGATGGGTATCAACTTTGGCCCCTCCTTTTGTGCAAGGACCGCGCCTATGCCATATTGGTTGGTGTTTGTGGTTACAACAAATGGCTTATCATTATCCGGAAGTTCAAAAACTTCATAGTGTGTTAGAGCATACTTCAGTTTCCTGAAGCTTGCTTCACACTCTTCAGTCCACTCCCAAGGGGTGTCAAGTCGAGTTAGATCGCAGTTAATGGGGAAGCTATAGTACTATAGTTTTTCACAAACGGACGATAGTAGCCTGTCATCCCCAGAAACGATCTGACCTCAGTGACAGTCTGAGGTTTGGGCCAGTCTCGTATGCTGGCAACTTTAGCATCGTCCTGCCTCAAACCATCCCCAGAGATTTCATGATCGAAGTACAAGGTCTTGGTGCGACCAAACTCGCATTTCTCCAAGTTAACCTTGTACTGGTATTGTCTTAGGAGACCTAGCACTATTTTCAAGTGCTCGGCGTGCTCCTCTACAGTCTTACTAAAGATAAGTATATCATTGAGGTACACGACGATGAACTTGTCTAAGTACTCATGAAATAGCCTATTCATTGCATGCTGGAATGTACCAGGAGTATTGCATAGGCCAAAGGGCATCACCACAAACTCGTACAGACCGTACCTGGTCTGAAAGGCGGTTTTGTGCTGGTCCTCAGGTCTAATGGCAATTTGCTGCTATCCGGATTTCAGATCTACCTTTGTGAAGTATCGGCATCCCTGCACTCTATCCAGTAGGTCGTCAATGCGGGGTAGGGGCTCCGCGTTCTTAACGGTGATGGCATTGAGGCCCCTATAATCAATGCACATCCTTAGTGTACCCCCCTTCTTTGGGACAAATAAAACTGGCGCACTGTAAGGGGAGGTACTAGGCCGAATCCATCCCTTTTCTGTGAGCTCCTTGGGCTGGCGGCGGAGTTCACCCAACTCCGCAGAAGACATCCTATAGATGCGTCCTCTAGGTACCTTACTACCTGGGACAACCTCTATTGCATGGACCACCTCCCTTTCTACCACGCTTGTGGGCTCCTAAAAAAGGTCGGAATATGTTGCGACGATTCATTCTATCTGTGGGGGTGTTTTAACTGCCTCCCCTTTTTCAGAGACAAAGACTAGATACATGTCCTCCTCGCGATTTTGTTTATAGTAGTTATAGAAAGAGGATGCATACATGCAACCGTAGCTTTCCACTAGACTGCTAGCTTTATACTTCTGCAGTCGAACGGTTCTACCGTTTGGCAGCTTGTGTATCAACACCTTCCTATCCCAA